ACCAATTGGTGAAGAAAGCCATCCTGAACATTTTCCAAAAACCTTTCTCCCTCATGGTTTGTCTCTAACATTTCCCAATCTATATGCCTAATATTATAATCACCCATAATTATGACTTCATTAACAGCTGAAATCTTAATCTCGTTGTAAAGTTTCTAATTTCATCAGTATCATCTAATGGTCTGTAACAAATTCCCACTAAAAGCCTTTTCCCTTTATATCCACTATTAGAAACCCAAATGGATTCAATCTCCTTGTTATTATCTTTGATATCCTCAACTTCAACAGGATGTAACTCACATTTTACATATAAAGCCACTCCCCTCCCCCCTCTTTAGTACCCTATCCCTATTAAATAACCTGTAACCCTGTATTACAAAATCATCTATGTTTAACCATGTTTCAGTTATTCCCATTATATTAAAATCCTCCATTCCTACCCTGTCAGGACTCTCCTTACTGTGAAACTTTAGTTACTGTCATGACTCTCCTTACTGTGAGATCGTTGTTACTATCACTACTGTAATGACTCCTCACTGTTAAATCTTAGTTACTGTCACTACTACCATGACTCCTTGCTGTCCAACCTTAGTTACTGTTGCTGCTGTCATGACTCCTTACTGTTAACCCTTAGTTATTGTCATTGCCACCTTGACTCTTACTGTCAAACCTCAGTTACTGTCACAGCTGCCATGACTTTCCTTACTGTGAGAACTTAGTTACTTTCATGACTCCTTACTGTCAAACCATAGTTACTGTCACTGTTTCCATGACTCCATGCTGTGTAACCTTATTTACTGTTGCTGCTGTCATTGCAAGGCCCATAGATGCCACTGCCACCAATGGAGGTTGCCTCTCTGGAGTCGGGTTGTTTGAGAGTGCAGCCCTAAGTAGGTTGTAAACTCCACCTAAAGTTAAGTATGTCCACAGACAGATAGTATACAAGTATCGTGAGGGAAAGTTGAAAAGAACTTTCAAGAGAAAGAGTCACATGATATTTTTTGAAGGGTGTAGTTACTGCTGTTTGTCAATCGATATTGATATTGAAAGGTATTCTTGGAATATCGTATTTAATGTATTTTTTGGGGAATTAGGTTTTTTCTTTGTGGTTCTTTTTCCTGATTCCATTATTATTGATTTATTAATATTTATGATAAATTGTTTATTAATACTCGTATGAAGTCCTGGCCAGGCACATGTTTATTAAAAAACTGAATGCAAAAATATTAAGAGGCAGAGAAAAGTTTAACATAGGAAATGAGTACAGAAGTAGTTATAAGGATAGGCTTAATAGTTAATATTGTAATGTTAGAAGAATAAGAAGTAAAATATATAACTTTAGAGTACTCAGTAACACCTACTAAGATTTAACAGTAAGGAGTCATGACAGCAGCAACAGTAACTAAGGTTGGACAGCAAGGAGTCATGGTAGTAGTGACAGTAACAAAGATCTCACAGTAAGGAGAGTCATGACAGTAAATAAAGTTTCACAGTAAGGAGAGTCCTGACAGCAGTAACACCAACTAAGATTTAACAGTAAGGAGAGTCCTGACAGCAGTAACACCAACTAAGATTTAACAGTAAGAAGGCTCATGACAGTAACCAAGGTTTCACAGTAAAGTAAACAACACGGAGCCTCACCATCAAGAAGGTTTGTGTGTGGATAAGCTGATGACCAAACACTACAGTAACTGGGATGACACAGAGTCCACTCTTGCCGAGTCTTCAGTAAAGGGTATAAACCTAAAGGAAGAAAAGTAAAACTATCAGCAGCATATACAGAAGTAACAAAAAATTAACCTAATCATCTAACACAGGACAGTCTTGTAACTTCTTCTTTGGTGACCTATCAACTTTTCCTCTTTTTTTAATCATACAACCCATGGTAACCTATCAACTTTTCCTCTTTTTTTAATCATACAACCCATGGTAACCTATCAACTTTTCCTCTTTGTTTAATCATACAATCCATGGTAACTTATCAACTTTTCCTCTTTTTTAATCATACAATCCATGGTAACTTATCAACTTTTCCTCTTTTTTAATCATACAACCCATGGTAACCTATCAACTTTTCCTCTTTGTTTAATCATACAATCCATGGTAACTTATCAACTTTTCCTCTTTTTTTAATCATACAACCCATGGTAACCTATCAACTTTTCCTCTTTTTTTAATCATACAACCCATGGTAACCTATCAACTTTTCATCTCTCTCAGTACTGTTACGTCTCCGTTTGTTAATTGATTTTTCCGTAACTTCGTTCCGACGAAATCTTGACGACACAAGTCTTTACTTAATAAAACTGGTTTATTCTTACCGAATATAACTTTACGATACACTTAATTTCAATATTTGCGCTAAAAGAAACACTATAACGAACGAACGTTAACTTCAACAATACCCTGTGACTGCAGTTCAATTACTCACTATCTACACACACATTATTGTCCGGTCACGTTGTCACCCTGTTTTATATACCAGACTACCCTATATCTAGTAAATGCTAGAGCATTCGCAAAGGTACAGGATAGTTCTAGAAAATAGGTGGCGCCACACCAGTCACGTGTCCTCGATGATGCAACAGTGCTATTTAAACTTATTCCTTGATACTCTCAAGTGGAGACTTTATCCTAAATGTATTCAGTTTCAATACTAATTAAATTTACTTCTTGATGCTATGCAGTGGAGACCTTATACTAAAGGTACCCAGTCTCAGTACTATTTAAACTAATTTTTGTAACAGAATTGTCCTTCAATGGTTGCTTAGGTGATATCTAAAGGTTACTTTCTCACCTATGTTGTAATGAAACGACCAGTCACAGGGGTAGCACGTGTCACCCTTGATAAATGGTATGTTTATCTTGAATTAAGGTATGTTGCATTTTAGCCAGTCTGGTATTTGAACAGAGAACAGCCACTGTTTGTCATGATATATATTGTGCCTTTTGTTTTACACTTGTGTCCACTTTCCTACTTCATTTTAATAATAAAGTTAAAATAAAACTACTGTTAAACTCCAGATAATTAAAACAGAACTTTCATTTTAACTGATGTTTTGCCTTTGTGGCTTCTTCAGGGCTAATCTGGAATGTAAAGGTCGTTTTTTTTCTAACTTTATTATCAAAATGTCTCCAAATTCTGAAATACTACTTCATTTTATATTGATTCAGTCAGTTAAGAGATGGAGAATTCTTCCTTAATTGATATCTTGATCAAACCTTCAGTTATCTAGCAGGCCTATGGTTAGTTCAGTTTCACCACCAAAGTATAGTACACTTCTGGTGATTAGACATCTTCCTTAAGAGAATAATGATAAATTCACCCACAAGAAGGAACGTCTACCTAAAGGAAGACTAGGGACCTTTCTTATTTTGTGATTCATCTAATCTTTGATTTACATGGTTACATAACATCAGGAAATTTACAGAATATTTTAGTCATAACTGTTAGATTTGTGAGATTATGTCACTAATAGTGACGAGGAATTTTTACCAAATAACTTTGAAGAGAATTTTCACGTGTGAAGTTGAATGGGAGTTTCCGTCATTGACGTAAATGACTCTTCTTCTGAACAAAGAGTGTTGATCTAATTCCTACTAGTTTGACAACCCTGACAGAATTTGTTGTAGCAAAGAAAATGTATATAACATACATATGAAACAATATTTGATTAAAATTTAAGATCAGTAAATCTAGAGAGTAGACTAATGTTCAAATGCAAAATTATTTTTATTTTCTAAATAGCATATAAGAGGGAAACAATTCAAGTTAAAAATCATTTATTAAAAAACACACTGAAAATATAAAAGATGTATAAACTAACCTTTTTCATTTGCTGAAATTATATCAAGGTATTTAGGTTTCAGTTTTGGTTTATCTTTCCACTCTGAAAAAAGACAAGTTCTATAGGTTTTGGTCTACAATACACTAAGATATGAGATATAATTAATTATTATTACTTGTTACTTTATATACACTAAGATATGAGATATAATTAATTATTATTACTTGTTACTTTATATACACTAAGATATAATTAATTAGTATTACTTGTTACTTTATATACACTAAGATATGAGATATAATTAATTAGTATTACTTGTTACTTTATTTACACTAAGATAGAATTAATTAGTATAAGCTATTACCCATTCACACATAATACAGGGATAAGAATTTCTCACCATCTTATAGGGAGCTACTATCCATTCGCAATCTGATGCAGCAGTCTGAGATACAGGAGAAGAGAATCTTGTGTTCATGGATGATAGTATAATAGATAAATATAACTATTTGGTTCAGTAGCTTGAGATACAGGAGAAGAGAATCTTGTGTTCATGGATGATAGTATAATACATAAATATAACTATTTGGTTCAGTAGCTTGAGATACAGGAGAAATGTTTTGTAGATCGATTTGACATAATTTTAATTATGTAAAAATTTGTTTTATTTGTTTTTGTTTCTTTTTTTTCAGACCCCCAAAACAATTTTAGCCAGTTACCCTGCAAATAGGACCGATCAGTTTCTGAAGCTCTTTGATGGTAAGAATGTTGATGAAGCTTTATTAAAACTATAAAAACCACTGTCTTTATTGAATTTGACAAAAAGTGCAGAGTAACAAATACTTTTTTACTGAAACAAAGATGTTTTATAAAGTAACAAGTAATACTAGTTAATTCTATCTCATATCTTAGTGTAAATAAAGTAACAAGTAATACTAATTAATTATATCTTAGTGTATATAAAGTAACAAGCTCACCATCTTATAGGGAAAATTCTTATCCCTGTATTATGTGTGAATGGGTAATAGCTCCCTCACCATCTTATAGAAGAATTTATAAGAATTTCTCACCATCTTATAGGGAGCTATTACCCATTCACACATAATACAGGGATCCCATTCACACATAATACAGGGTAGTATCTTCCCATTCAGTGGTTCAGTTGCTAGCCATACTCTATTAATGGTTAAGTGTGTATATACCTTATATTTACTAGTTAAACAAGCTGAGGAACTAAAATATAAAATGTATATTTAGTAATGATTATACCATATGTTTGGTTTCTATTTCTCATTCACTGCTCTCTTATATTACAATTTAATATTAATTTACCATTAGTATTGGTACCATTAATATGAATACATTATGAGTATATCACCCCCTTACTATAACATAACCATGACTTACCTCCAGCTTGTTGTTAAGTCTCACCGTATCTCCACCATATTGAATGAGTAAAGCTGTTACATCATATCTTTACATAAAAAAAGAATAATTCTTAGTGAAGGTAAAATATTATATACGTAAACATTTGATTGATTTTATTTAAAACTTTATTTTCTATTAGTTACATATAAAGCAGATTCCTACAAGACAGTTTTATACAAATTTAGTTAGATTAAAGCAGATTCCTACAAGACAGTTTTATACAAATTTAGTTAGATTAAAGCAGATTCCTACAAGACAGTTTTATACAAGTTTAGTTAGATTAAAGCAGATTCCTGCAAGACAGTTTTATACAAGTTTAGTTAGATTAAAGCAGATTCCTACAAGACAGTTTTATACAAATTTAGTTAGATTAAAGCAGATTCCTACAAGACAGTTTTATACAAGTTTAGTTAGATTAAAGCAGATTCCTACAAGACAGTTTTATACAAATTTAGTTAGATTAAAGCAGATTCCTACAAGAGTTTTATAAGATATTCTGTGTCCTTGATGTTTTCACTCACTTGTTACTTTATAGACTTTTATATTTGATATTTTCACTCACTTGTTATTTTATAGACTTTTATATTTGATGTTTTCACTCACTTGTTATTTTATAGACTTTTATATTTGATGTTTTCACTCACTTGTTATTTTATAGACTTTTATATTTGATGTTTTCTACTCACTTGTTATTTTATAGACTTTTATATTTGTATGTTTTCTACTCACTTGTTATTTTATTAGACTTCTTATATTTGATGTTTTCACTCACTTGTTATTTTATAGACTTTTATATTTGATGTTTTCACTCACTTGTTATTTTACAGACTTCTTTATTTCATGTTTTCACTCACTTGTTATTTTACAGACTTCTTTATTTCATGTTTTCACTGATGTTTATTTCACAGACTTCTTTATTTCATGTTTTCAATTCTTTGATAGATTATTTAGGTAGAGTATTCATGATGAAATTTAGTTGAATGAACGGCAACTGCCTGTTGTAGAAACACAAGAAAAAAGGACGACGTTCCGAAAGTGAAGGCGAAAGGTGGAAGACTTTCAAAACATCGGCCTCTACATTTGTGTTTCTACACCAGGAAGTTGCCGTTCATTCAACTAAGTTTCATCATCACCACTGATATTTTACTTTATAAAAATTATTTCTTTCATGTTTTCAATCTCCTGTTATTTTACAGAACTCTTTGTTACATGTTTTAATCACTTGTTATTTTACAGAACTCTTTGTTACATGTTTTTAATCACTTGTTATTTTACAGAACACTTTATTACATGTTTTTAATCACTTGTTATTTTACAGAACACTTTGTTACATGTTTTTAATCACTTGTTATTTTACAGAACTCTTTGTTACATGTTTTTAATCACTTGTTATTTTACAGAACACTTTGTTACATGTTTTTAATCACTTGTTATTTTACAGAACTCTTTGTTTCACGTTTTCAATGACCTGTTATTTTATTAAAATGATTTGTTTAATGTTCTCATTCATCTGTTACTTTACAGAAGCCACAATGATTGATTATTCTCACCTCAAGTATCTACATGATTCATGAAACCCTGAAGTTCCAAGATCTGGATCAACATGGCTAGGATCCATACCATGATCCAGCATTAGCTGCACTATGTCCTTGTGACCTCGGATGCAAGCACCAACAAATGCACGGTTAGCTTTACGAAACGATGGTTCATAGTCGAGCAGTAAAGCAACAGCATCTATGTTAACAAAACCATATTTTTATAGTTAGCACATGGTAACAAACTCAAAACTGATAGTAAATTTTAGTTAGGCTAACATTTCATGTTGGCTCATCAGTCTCATTGTTGTGTATGTTTGTTGAGTTCTAACTGATACCCGTATTTTAGTGAGACTAACATTTCATGTTGGCTCATCAGTCTCATTGTTGTGTATGTTTTACGGGTATCAGTTAGAACTCAACAAACATACACAACAATGAAAAACATACACAACAATGAGACTGATGAGCCAACATGAAATGTTAGTCTCACTAAAATACGGGTATCAGTTAGAACTCAACAAACATACACAACAATGAGACTGATGAGCCAACATGAAATGTTAGCCTAACTAAAATACGGGTATCAGTTAGAACTCAACAAACATACACAACAAAGAGACTGATGAGCCAACATGAAATGTTAGCCTAACTAAAATATGGGTATCAGTTAGAAGTCAACAAACATACACAACATAGAGACCAATGAGCCAACACGAAATGTTAGTCTCACTAAAATACGGGTATCAGTTAGGACTCAACAAACATACACAACAATGAGACTGATGAGCCAACATGAAATGTTAGTCTCACTAAAATACGGGTATCAGTTAGGACTCAACAAACATACACAACAATGAGACTGATGAGCCAACATGAAATGTTAGTCTCACTAAAATACAAGTTATACAAGAACTGAAAAAATGCAGCTTTTTTTAAAGATAATCATTGAAGAAGCATGGAGAACAGCAGCTTTTTTTAAAGATAATCATTGAAGAAGTATGAAGAACAGCAGCTTTTTTTAAAGATAATCATTGAAGAAGTATGAAGAACAGCAGCTTTTTTAAAGATAATCATTCAAGAAGCATGGAGAACAGCAGCTTTTTTAAAGATAATCATTCAAGAAGCATGGAGAACAGCAGCTTTTTTAAAGATAATCATTCAAGAAGCATGGAGAACAGCAGCTTTTTTAAAGATAATCATTCAAGAAGCATGGAGAACAATAGTAAAGTGAACTAATTCCTCAAGATTGATTTCTATAATAGTAACATTAGTAGAGATAGAGGTCCTAGTAGTTAATAATAGAAAGATAGAGGTCCTAGTAGTCAATAAAAGGAAGATAGTGGTCCTAGTAATCAATAATATAAGATAGAGGTCCTAGTTGTCAATAATAGAAAGACAGAGGTCCTAGTAGTCAATAAAAGGAAGATAGAGGTCCTAGTAGTCAATAATATCAAGATAGAGGTCCTAGTAGTCAATAATAGTAAGATAAAGGTCCTAGATGTCAATAATAGAAAGATAGAATTATTGACTACTAGGACCAGTAAGATAAAGGTCCTAGATGTCAATAATAGAAAGATAGAATTATTGACTACTAGGACCAGTAAGATAAAGGT